AGAGGTGTGGGTATTTTTTGCAAAATTGCCATAGTTTCCTTCTTATCCACCAGATATAAATCGGACGGCCTATACTGCAGGATAGCAGGCACACCATCATCAACAACTCTGTTTTTTATAAGAGTAGAGAGTAGAGATAGAGATGGAGACTACTACTACCAATGTGCTGGCCCGTGCGTTGCAATGGATCAAAAGTAATAGAATAATACTTGTTCACGGGCTTAAAATATAAACACTCTAGTTTTGATATACATATATCAGTAAAAGTAAATCATGCTTCACTCAAAATATATTCTTCAGGCTGTTTTGATGGTTTGAAGATAACATGTTTAAAAAAAATTGGAGCTGTTTTTTTTACATTTTGTAGCGTGGCATGGCATCCGGTGCACCAAGCGTCTGATTTTTTTTAGTTTGGGTCGATGGCACACCCTGCGGCAAGATGCCTTGTGGGCTTCTTTTATAACTAGCAAGATGCTCGTGCATTGCAGGGAACATCAAGATGCATTTTTTTTACAAAACACCTGTTGTCATTAATCCTTGCATGAGTAATCCCATGTGTAAAAACTAATGATATCTCAAGAATTTTATCAAAAAAATGGTATCTTTGGAACAAGTTTTCTCTACTACTGCTCCTTGCAGTGAGCGGTATGCAATGTATGTGTCAGCAGACATGACAGCCTCTCCATGGAAGTTGAATCATGGCGACCATCACGTTTTTTGTTTCTACCACTGCCACACCCACACGCGATTCCCATGACGCCACTCCAACCCACGACACGATGTCCCTCGACGCGCGCCTCATCCCTCTCGGCCCCACCGCTCCTCTGCCTTTGTGTGCATGACATTCAGGCCAGCTGAACTGCGGCGACCATCAACTTTCTAGCACAACCACACCCGATTGGACGCGGTTTGCCTGCTCCGCTCCTGTGCTCCGATCCGTACTCCCGCGCCATCGAATTTTCATCCAACGACTGTGACACATTTCGTCCCGGGCATCAATCCTCAGCTTGAGTACTTCTGTACTACAGGTAGTACCCGCCGGTGTGGCCATCTACGCCTCATAATGCCTCGATGCCCAGCTGTGGCACCCTCGCCACGGCCACGCCTTCATATCGAACCAGTGAGTCGTGAACCATGCCACCACCATGAGAATGACATGTGGGCCAGCTGCATTTAAGGTCCGCATGTCATTGACTCATAGGCCGGTGCACTAAGCCACTGAAGCTCGATCCCGTGGGCCCCGAGAGGGAAATATAACTCCTGTGGCAGGCCTTGTGGTGCTCCCGCAGTACGAGCTCGTGCCAAACCCAAATCTCTACTCTCTGTATCTATATTTATATACTTATACTTACTCTTATAAAAAATAGAGTTGATGATGATGGTGTGCCTACCATCCTGCAATATAGGTCGTCCGATTTATATCTGACGGATAGGAAGGAAACTATGGCAATTTTGCAAAAAGATACCCACACCCCTCTCCACATTTGCAAATAAGGCCTTGCCTCGTTCATCCATATCTCCCACAACATAAACTACTCATACAAATGCATCTTGATTTTCCGTGCAACGCATGGGCATCTTGCTAGTTATGAATAAATAACACTGTATCAACAAGCCCCATCAGACACCAAATTTCTTGGCTTCCGTGCTACAGCTAGATCTTCCCCTCGTTTCTGTTTTCCAACCCGGCGGCGGGCAGGGTGCGGTTTGTCAAAAGTCGGTTTGATCAACGGTGGTCCCACATGAAAGTGAAACTAGCAAGCGATGTTAAATTATGCAATGACATGGATGGGCATCGTACCCAGGTAATTTCGTCCAAAATTTAAATGCTCAAACTCATCGCATGCGTGTAAAGCAGAAGAATCGTCTGGAATGCGCACATTTGTTCAAAGTGAATGGTGTCCGGCAGCACCGCGCGCCAAGTTTCCCTCCACTTTTTGAAATTTTTTGTCTACCATCGAAATATCTAACTCTCCCCTCCTCCTCACCCCTTTCTCTCCCCAACCACAAGCCACAGTTTCCCTGTTTCCTCCTTCCTTCCTTCCCAAGCTATAGCCGCTTCTCGCTCTCGCCGTCTCGCATCCGACTGCCACGGTAGCCATGGTCTTCTTCAATGACCTCTCCGGCGGTTCCTCCGACAACAGCGACTCTTCCACCGGCCTGGTATGCCTCTCTCCTCTCTCTCGGGTTATGATTTGGAATAAAGGATTTTAACCCGGCGGGCGATTTGAGGCATTTCTTCCTCTCGTAGCTCCCTAGGGGCACCAAAGCTCAAAAAAAATCTCCACCCGTGCCTTGTCGTTCTACGGCGGGCTGCTTAATCGGTTCACAACGTTGATTCAGCGATGGTGCTTCGACGGATCTGGTTAGTGGGGTTGCTTATTTTTCCTATCTCCGATGGTGCTCCAGCGACAACGGTGACCTGCAACGGGCCAAGATGGCAATGGATGCAAGGATCTCTTTGGACTGAGTTTTTTACTTTGTTTTTTCAGGTTTTTTGTGCAATTGTACGGGGCATGTGTGTTTCTGGGTCCTTTTGGTGAATTTCGTATGTACGTGCTCGGACTGTGATATTTGACACACATGTGCCATATAAACAAAACTGCCACACCTATATTTATTTCATTTTAAAGTATCATATGATCCCTCGTTCTTTGACCTTGCCTCTTCCCAAATGACCCCGCAGGCTCGCCTGAGAAACCTGCTTCTCCCGCATATCTCGGACGCTCACCCTCGAGAAAACTGCCACTTCTTCACGTCTACCACATGATTTCTCCTCAGGACAAAGTTACCATGATATTCGTATGCAAGTTATCAGGCCTGTGTTGCATAACTTACCGTGCTATTTACATAGAACGTATCGGGTACTATGCTTCAACAACTACACCCTTTCAAAGTTACCACTGTGTTTTGTACACAAGTTATAAGGTCTTCGATGTGTAAAATACCGTGGTACATCAACCTCCCCCCGGTCAAAGTTACCATGGGGGATTGTACATGAGTTACCGGGTCTACGGTTCGTATATTATCATGGTACTTGCACCTAAAAACCTGGGTGTGTTTCGGTAGCTTTTTCCATAGGTCAAAAATTACCATGATGTTTTTGCGTAACTTATCACACCTATAGCACGTGTGCCTCTCATGACACTAAACATTATGTGACTTTCCCGTGGCACCCCATGTGTTGTGTTCATCCAAGGGGCCCACGTGCGAGACAAGTGTATGTTTTTAACAACTTATATATTTTCCTTTGGTAAAAAAGTTACCATCATGTTTATATTGCAAGTTATCGGTTATGTGGTGCTTATATTATCATGTTATTTACACAAAAATTATTGGGGATGTTTTGAACAACTTTTTCCCGGGGCAAAAAGTTATCATGGTGATTCTAGGTAACCTATCAAGCCCGCAGTGCTTAAAATATCATGCTATTTACACAAAATTTATCAGGGATATGTTTCAGCAACAAATCCCCCCCCCCCCCTTCACGGGTCAAAAACTTATTATGGTGTTTAGTTATCACAGTGCATATATTTTCATACTATTTACACATAAAAATGCCAGGGAAGGGAGGTATACTACCGTGCTATTTACATAGAAGATACCGGAGTATCTTTTCAAAAAAAAAATCCCTACGGTCAAAGTTACCATGGTGCTTCTACCTTAGTTATCAGATGTGCGCTGCGTATATTACCATCTATTTACACATAAATTATTAGGTATCTTTTCACATTTGTTTTCCCCAATGGTTAAAGTTACCACGATGTTTGTATCTAAATTATTAGGTCTATGGCGTGAATGTTATCATGCTATTTACAGAAATTACCGGGGGGGCGGGCTTAACAAATTTATTCCCAATGATCAAAGTTACCATGATGCTTGAAATAAAAAGTTTTTCAGTGCGGCAAAAACATGTCAAAAACAGTTTCCTTTAGAATGTTCAACAATGAGTGTCATAGGTGAGGTGGTTAGCTCCCTTTGTTAATTACCTGTAGACCAGAGATCAAATCCTAGTCTAGGCATTATTTTTGCTGAAAATCGAGAAGGCATGTGGGGCCATAAATGACGATTACGAAAATTAGGAAGGCATGAGCGGGTGTGCCCGATAAAATCGGAGGAGGACGTGCGGGAAAGGAAAGAAATCGGAAGGTTTGGCAGTTTCGCAATCTGCCACACGGTTGCCATATACTCCCTTCGTCCGAAAATACTTGTCATCAAAATGAACAAAAGAGGATGTATACATATTTCGTGCTCTATATACTATTTTTGCAATATATATAAACACGTAGTTATTCCTAAAAAAACTAGCAGCACCGAAGCTCAAAAAAAAAGGAAAAAGAACTCCACCCGTGCTAATTGTCAAAAGAAAAAAACAAACTCCACCCGTGCCTCCGCTCTCTCTTCGTCCAGTGCAAAGAAAAAAAAAACTCCACACAATGCTCCGGCGCTCCACCTCCGTCTTCGGTGCTCCGACTCCGTCCGGCGACTCCTAGGCGCCCCCGCTCCGGTGCTCCACCTCCGCCTTCGCCTGCCTCAACGCCTTAGAGGATCTGCGAGAGGAGACGCCGCCAATGCCGAGCTAGGGTTTCGGCCCCTCCACCTGCGCCGCCGCCGTTGGTGACAAATCCGTCTGCTCCACCCCTCCCCGATCTACGGCTCCCGTCGTCCGCCTCCGCCTGCTCTCAATCGAGCCAGTCGCCGCCCCGGAGCTCCGCGTTTGCCGCCTCCGATATCCCCCGTCCGCGCCAACGGCGACGAACCCGAGCGGCCGCAACTCCTCCGTCCACTATCCCCCGAGCAGCCGCACCCCTCCCCAAGCTCTCAACAAGGTTTACCAGGTTAATTAGGCCCTCAACCACCTGGTTCTTGATTCATGGCCAAAGGGATGAGGGTTTACTACTGTATAAATAAATGGGGGGAAATTCGTGGGTAAATGACTTCCTTTTCCTGATTTCTGTGGTCGCTGTCCATCAGGTCGGAGCGCCCGCGAGAGCTGTACCATGTGGTGGCGGCATTACCCCCGCAACCACGTGGGCGATGACAAGACGCAGTTCGTTGCCGTCGCCACCGGTGGTTTCAGGCGCAGCATGGTTAGTTAACTTACTCACCCCTTCCTCGCATCAATCCACTTCCCCGCGAGAGCTCTCTCCTTGTGCACGCTAGGACAGGGACGAGGGTGTTGAAAATTGAAATGCCACTAAAACTATTACTCCGTCCGTCCCAAAATAAGTGTCTCAAGTTTGTACTATCTTTAGTACAAAGTTGTACTAAACTTGAGACACTTATTTTGGGACGGAGGGAGTACTAGTGAAATCATCCCCTTCCTGAGTAAAGGGCTGTGCTTTTTATTTGTTAGTATTACAGTATTTCATTCTTAACTATGCTGTGCAATACTTGGCCCTTCCTACAACATTGGCTTGCCATTGGAAGGAAAGAGGAAGACCTGGTAGATAAGATCGTTAATTGCTGGTAACTGTGCATTTGTTCCTCTTGGCGGACCAAACTTGTGGCACCACCTGTGCTTGCATTATGGGCGCAGCAGCAATGGGGGCGTGAAGATATGCCTGTATATTCTTTAGAAATGTAGCACCAAAAGGCTTTCTCTGTCTCACACCACCAGCGGCAGGCCCTCTTTTCCTACAAATAGGCTAAAATTGTACTAAACCCAACATAGTTAACTGTACATGCAAGTAACCAGGGGAGGGGGCACATACCTCGCCCCCAGCCGCTAAGCACATTCCATTTAAATCAGGCCAACCTTGCTAGATAAGATTGTCATTTGGTTCCCAGGCAAAAAATTTTTTTTATTAATCCCAGCCTTGCTGGGCTAGGCTTGACATTTGGAACTGCAAAGCTAATCTAGCTTTCAGTGTATTTTTCTTCAAAGAACTGTTTCAGAAAAAAGAATTCCTTTGAAAAATTGTTTCAGAACATATAAATGGGGCAGCAGGACAACAGTGTTGGTGGAAAGCTCTTACGGAGATAATTAGTGTATTAGCACACTGCTGGTCTACTATCGTTAGTACTAATTTGGTAACTAGTACTGTACTTTAGTACACTTCTGGCCAACTACCATCATTATGCTACTTCTGAATTATAATAAGGTAACTCATTCACTTAAGCACATTTTTTCCATAATGCGTGTTCCAAATATATCAATTTTTGTTTTGTTTGTTTGCAATGTCCTTCTGTATTTCCTGAAAATAGCACGAAACTTAACTTGTCACAGACAGTGAACCTTGTAACTCTAAGTTTATCTTCCTTGTTTTTAAATAGTGCATACCGTGGGAGGTTGCAAACCATTTGGGGAGCATGATCTCCGAGACCATCAAACTAGAAGCTCCTAATGGCATATTCCTTATTGGAGTGTGTAGAAAGACGGGTGAGCTAGTTCTTCGGGCTGGCTGGGATAAGTTTGTCGCAATGCATCACATAAAAGAAAATTATTCTTTTTGGTTTGTGTACCGTGGGAACTCTACCTTTAAGGTTCATATATTCAATTCTAACGGTCATGAGAAGGCTACTTCCTGTTCTAAACCACCTTCTGAGAGCTTTGGTGGTGTTCCACCTGCTGCAACTTGCGATCATCATGTGCTGAATGGTAAGATTGATTATAGTATTCTAAAGTCTAATACTACTTGTACCGTGCTTTTGTGGTCATTGTAACAATGTACTTGATGTGCAGAACAAGTACCGTCTGTTTCTGGAAATGTTCAGACCTCAACTGACTCTGGCTATAGCATGTTACCTGGCTGCCATCTAACCAAAGCACAAGATGAGAAAGTACGTGAACTAGCTTGTACCATGAGATCTCAAGTTCCCCTTTATGTGGCAGTCATGAACAAAAGCAATGTCAACTTGAAGGATTGCTCTGTTGTAAGTTGGATCTTTTCCCTAACCATTTCTTGGTTATGTTATTAATCCCACTAATAGGACCCATTCCTACTGCTACTGGTCAAGATTCCATCGTTGCAATAATGTCTTTTTATTTTGGGTTACCGCAGAACCTACCGTTAAAGCTTGTGGAACATTTCAAGGAGGACACATCTAAAGCTACTATTCAACTAGAAGCCCCTAATGACATGATATATGGTGTTGAAGCTTGCAAGCATGGTGATGATCAAATAGTCCTTCAATATGGGTGGAATAATCTTGTAGATGCTAATCGCATACAAGAGAATGACCTCCTTGTTTTTATAACCAAGGGTACCAAACGCCTTGAAGTTCGTATTCTTGGCACAAGTGTTCATCAGAGAACCTCTTCATGCTTTGACGTGGGAAATATTTCTAGTACTCAAGAAATTCGTGAAGATTCACTTGAAATAACTGATCCACCCCCTCATACAGACTACTATGTGAGTAGTTCTGATGATGATCACATTATGGAAGAAGGATACTATGTGAGTAGTTCTGATGATGATCACATTGCGGAAGAAGACTATGTGAGTAGTTCTGATGCTGATCACATTGTGGAAGAAGGCACTAGAAAATCAGGTAGGCGGCAGAAGCAGGCACCTAGTCGCTATGCAAAAGCTCAAAAGGTGGCTTCAACATCCTCCCCGTCTGCTGCTAAATCAGGTTATAGTGCTATATATACGAGTGCGTTTTCCTTTTATCAATTTCCAAATTGCTTCTGGTTATCCTATGCTTATCTTATGAGGGTTGTGCAAGCTTTTCAGGATATGAAGCTCACAAGCTGAATGAGCGAGCATCTGTGGAGTTTGGGATCAATTTGGAACCTCATAGCTCCACCAGCAATCTCGAGGGCCCTTCCCAGTATCCCTACGTTTTATCTGAAGGAAGGACAAGTCTAAGTAGTGTGGAGAAGGAGAAAGTTGAGGAGAAAGTTCAAGCAATTCAATCTGAACTTCCTATCTTTGTGGTAGTAATGACTAAAAGCCGGATTAATGCCGATCAATTGGTGAGTTCAATTACATACTCTTTGACCTATCGTTTGTAGATAGATTGCGTTAATTTGTCAAAGGAAATCTTGAGACCCACTTGTGCAATTACTACATTAATTACAAAACCCTGTGCATATACATAACCAATTAATTTCTCATCTAAAAATGCATCAAAGTCCATCTATTATTAATACGTAAACACCGACTGTACTGTACGTGTGAATCATTCATTCCACTCAAGTAGTAGACATTGATCTGACATTTTGATTTCTCATGTGACGATTGTGCATGTCTGATCAGGGCTTCCGCATGGAATACGGTGCAAGACATATTCCACACTTAGGCAGAAAAATGGATCTCATGCTTCAGGCAGAGGGAGGTACCGAGCAGCGCACCAGATTGGTGATAGATCAGAACGGAAAGAGGTGGATTCGTCGTGGCTGGCAGCAATTTGTCACCGAGAATAAAGTGCGGGAGGGGGATATCTGCCTCTTTGAACGGGGAGAGAGCACGAAAAAGCTCAGGATGACGGTCTATTTCATCCGCAAGTCAAGTCAGACATAGAGGTGTAGCTCAAGCCCTAATATGTCTATGTACTGGTAGTTAATACGTTGTCCGAATGGTTCTAACCGTGGTGCCCTGCCATGACATGACAGTGAGTTGGTGAGCTTGTTTCTAATCTGGGATGGATTGGAGTCTTGCCTGCCTCTAGTTAGTGGTATTGTGTCATGCTCAGATGCATATTGTTTGAGATTAGGAAGGATGTCTCCATCCAGGTGATATGAGAACCTTTTCTCCCATGAGATATGATGTAAACTGTAAACACCATTAATTATGTTACGTGTTGCCTACTTCATGGCTGTGTTCAACTGGGTCTTGGTTCGGCTCCATCATGATGCTTCTGTTGTGTCTCTTTGGAAATGCGCATGATATATATATATATATATATATATATATATATATATATATATATATATATATATATATGCTTTGCCTTGATGAGTTTTCAGCATTTGTGCGACTTGCCCAAGCTGGTAAGATGTACCCCTTCCGTTCGGAAATACTTGTCTTAAAAATGGTTGTATCTAGAACTAAAACAAGTCTATATACAACCATTTCTAGAACGGAGGGAGTACTAGAGTTTCAGTTCAAAATAGAGGAAGAAAGCCAAGGACAGGGATGCTTTGTCTGAATCCTTGCTTGCCCGACACCGACAGTCAGGTCCACAGCCTCAGGTGATCCTCGATTCCTTGTTTGAAATATAAAAAACCTCTGTTGTGCTCCTGGAAACCCAAACCCACGACAATGGCATGCACAAAAGGAAAGACCTTGCCGACATCTTGACTAATAAAAATAAAATAAAAAGTTTCTCTCTTTCCGCCGCTCCGAACGAAGTACCCGGCCTTTCGATCCGGTTATCCGAATGAAGACTCGAGGGGAAATTTTGTTTTTGTCACTCTAGCTTCTGCCTATTTTGCTTATGCTACTGTGATGAAAATCTTATTGTGTTCCCTCCCATCGCGTCGCCCCCGCCCTGGGCGACTCGGGGGCTCTCCAACCCTAGGTGCCGTCGTCGCCCTCTCCTCCTTCCCTCCTCACGTCATCG